CGCGGCAAACTGACACAGAGGGAAGGGAAACTCAGGGGCGCTGGGCCATTCACGAGCGTCACCCAGCGGCATGGCCCCGCCCCTTTTTCTCCTCCATTTCAGGCAAATTTTTCACTGACTCAAATATAAGCCGAGGCGGCTTTTTTCAGCTCAAAAAGTGGGCTGAAAAACTAGGCTTATACTTGAGTATATACAGTAAGCTGTTTAGAGAGAAAATGTGTGGCTGAGGACAGTCTGGGGAGCTTCCCTTAAAAGCTTCCCTAGAGAGCTCTTAAGAGGTCACCCAACCCCACCTATTTTTACCCCCCTCCATGCTGGACCCTCAGTCTGGTAGGTATCTCGGCATCTTTGACACCACGCAGTGAAACTTACAACAATATTGTACATGGCCAAGGTCCGGTATCTCTCTTGAATATCCAAATACTTGAGTTCCACTTCTAGAGATATCTGTTTGATCTCGGCTATGGTGCCCAGGACGAATTTGAGATCTTCCAAAGTACTGGGGGTAGTCTTCAGATGGTGCGACAATCTCTGGAAAGCATATTCGTTTGCTCATTAAGTCACACAAACATTGCAAAGAACCATTTGGCTAAAAACTACATGTCCCATCAGCATGTTTTTAGTTTTGGTGATGGATAGTGAGAAATTGAAGTATTGGTCTTCAAGATCTTGGAGTAGAAGACTATAGGATGATGTCCTACATGCCTTGAAAATCGCCTTGGACCAGGTGGGGGTCAACACTAATCCGTACCTAGAGCAGGGGGGGGTGTGTGTCCAACTTTAGCCATTTAAATGCTTCTGGACTTCAACTCCCAGAATTCCCCAACCATTCTGGGAGTTGAAATCCACAGGTCTCAAATTCACCAAGGTTGGACACCCCAGGCTTAGATCTTGGACTCAAAAGATAAGGTATGTTTGATCTTTTCCTGCAAACATTCCTCTGTCCTCTCCAGGGAGTTCTGGGAATTGAATTCTGGGAATTGAAGTCCACAGGTTGTCAACTCGCAAAGCATCCATGGCCTGCTCTCGAGTTGCCATAGGCAAGGGGGAATGGGAAAACGGCGAAGCCAAAAACAAAAGCACATTCCCGACATATCTCTCTCAAGGCTATCTCCCAGGGTTGCCCGCAGCCGCCGGAGGGAAGTGATCTCTACAACCTGTGAAAGTGCTCCATTGGCAAATGTGACTGATGATGACACACCCGGGGGGGGGGGGAGAAACAGGGTCAGAGCTGGGACATAAATTTTGTGGGGGTCAGAGCTGGGTATGTGGCGACACGTTGCTCCTAATAAATAACTGGGTTTATTTTGAAGCTCAGCTTGAGGCTCATGATTTAATCAGGGCTTCCGGTTGGAACCCTGACGCAGGTCTTAAAATCACCACGGTTGGACAGCCCTGGCCGAGATCTTGGGACTCAAAAGATAAGATATGTTTGATCTTTTCTCCATCCTCTCCAGGTATGGTAGGACCAAGGTGGGAAACCTACCTCGATGTTTTCTTGGAGACTGTAGAGCACCTCCTTGGCTGACTCGTTGAGTAGCTTCCCAAGGGAAGTGATCCAACCTCTGGCGTTCTCCTGGACCGTGAAGGCCAATGGGGACAGCAGCAGGCGGATGCACTGCTCATCTTTGACCATGGGCTGCTGCATGACCTCCTGGGCCACCTTCATGTAGAACTGCAGCTTCTCGTCGAAAACCACGCACGGCGGCTTCTTGGCCGCAAACTTCTCCATGACGATGGCCTTGTCCAGCTTCCAGAGGGGACGATACCGCTTCCAACGGTTTAGGTATTTGGTGAGGGAAGCCAGGAGTTTGTGCATGTTCTGCGTGATCAGGATGGCCTGCTCGATGATCGTCGGGTTCTGGGAGATGTCGCTGAAGAAGCTGAAGATGACTGGCTCATCGTCCCCCGTTTGCTGGGGTGGGCACTCGATGCAACTGCCATGCAACCAGCGAAGAAAAAGCTGCATGGGGGGCAAAGGAACATTCTCCGGCTAAGCTCAAGCTCAGCTTTGCAGGAAGGGGAAGAGGTTTAGTTCTCGCGTAACCAATTGTTAGCAAATTTGCCAGTTTGGGGGGGTGGGGGAAGGGGGACAGGTGAAAACTGAAAGTCCAGCTAAGTAGAAGAGGCCAAGTCGGTCTATAAATTGGACCTAGTCTTGAAACACCATTTCAGGCTTCAACCGGCAGACAGGACTAGAATCCAAGACCTCCACGTAAATATTCACTGAAGAAAAGTTAGAAAGACCTAAGGAATGAATTCTAATAGTGCTCAGCTCCCTCTTTTCAGCAGGAGGCTCAGCTTCCATGGTTTTGCAATCATTCCATTTGCCAGAAGGAAAGGATAGCCAGTGACTTAAAGCCAGCCATCAACAGCCAGCTATTCAGATTATTGGACAAGCAGGGACAAAAACAGCCAGCTATTCAGATTGTTGGACGAGCAGGACAAAAAAAAAAAAAAGCCAGCTATTAAGATTGTTGGAAGAGCAGGGACAAAAACAGCCAGCTATTAAAATTGTTGGATGAACAGGGATTTCTCTCTCTGTTAGAACCAGCCTCTAACAGGGGAGGCGGCTGGAGGCCTGGTAGGGTCTCATGTCCACATGAACCTCCCGCAAAGAGACCGAGGGTGTGTGTGTGTGTGTCTCACCTTGGTGGTTTCCACACAGTCTCGAATGCAGTGGACACTCATCTTCTCAATTTCCCCCATGTTCGGCTGGAGGATGATCTCGGGGGCAGACAGAATGGTCTCCGCTTGGAAGATCGGAGTGTCCCCTACCACGGCGGCGTTGAAGGACTGCAAATTCCTTCAAAGACAGGGAAACAGTCAGAGGGAACAAACCACCAGTGACCGAAGAAAAATGAGAGGGATGGGCAGACTTAATTTACTCCGAGACTATCAAGTATTTAAGGAGGCGAGGACTGCACAGCAGAAGCAAAGGATAACCAGTGACTTAAAGCCAGCCATAAACAGCCAGCTATTCAGAATGTTGGACAAGCAGGGACAAAAACAGCCAGCTACTAAGATTGTTGGACAAGCAGGGGCAAAAACAGCCAGCTACTAAGATTGTTGGACAAGCAGGACAAAAAAAAAGCCAGCTATTAAGATTGTTGGACGAGCAGGGGCAAAAACAGCCAGGGAAGTGATTGAAGCCTGGGAAACAGGCCCCTGGTCAGTCAACAGGAACATTGATTTACCACCAGCATATCAAGTACTTAGAAAGTGAGGACTGGGTAGCATAAGCAAACCACTTAAAAGCCAGCACATCCCAATCAACATCTAAAAAGCCACACGCAACAGTCACTATAAATACCACACACAGAACAGCCCACACTCTGCTAGAGAGAAGTTCCCTGAGGATGGGATCCAGCACGAGTCGGAAAACTCAGAAGGTGAAACCTCCGGTCCCGGTGTGGCCCACCCCGGACTGGATCCTGCGGACTTACTTCAGAACCAAGTTGGTCAGGCTTTGATAGATTTTTTTCTCCCAGTAGGCGTAGTACGGCACGAGCCGCGAGGCTTTCCCGGTGTTGGTGTTCACCACCAGGCCTTCCATCTTGGTCAGCAGGGGCCCCACCGAGGTGTACTTGCGGACCAAGTGCTCCATGTCCCTGGCTCGTTCGCGCTTGATAAACTCAAAGTAATCCTTCACACCTGTCCGGGTGAGGAGACCAAAGGAAAGTCGAGGTGGGGACAGCCTAACGAAAGGCGTTGAACAACGATTCACGAGAAAGGTTTGCAAAGCGCCCTTTAGAAAGCTTCCCACAACCGCCACAGTTCATGCTTCAGGTGTTCTCGGGGAATATTTCATACAATCCAGCCTTTGAGATTCTTCGACGTGTAACTAGTGGCTTAGTGAAAACTGACTACCCTGCCCCCGCCCCCCCCCCCCCCCCCGGGGGATTTCCAGCCTGGTTTTGAAGTTCCCTGCAGTCACGTAACCACGTTTAAGGTGCTCTGGAACTGGCCTGCATGNGAGGAGGAGGAGGAGGAGGAGGAGCAAAACAATACTTCTGCTACTTACAACAACCTCCAGCTTGAACTCCTCCATCACCGCCTTCCACTGGTTTACAGATCTGAGGTTGAACGGGTCAAAGGTCAGAACTTCCATCGGGCTGACCAGGCCGTCTACTCGGTACAAGACTTCGTCGATGCGCTTGGGATCTCCCGTCACAGCTTTCAGCTCAGGCCCAAAGATGTTGTAAAATTCCTCCATGACCTGTTGGGTAAAAAGAGCAGGGGTGGTGGGGGAATCTGGGGCCTTTGGCTCAGGAATTGTGGGAGTTGAAGTCCACAGGTCACAAAAGGGCCATGGATGGAGGGGTGCGTTTGTGTGTGTGTGCATGAGAGAGAGAGAGATTTTCAGGGATCCCCTTTGGGGAAATTTATTTGGCTTATGCAATTGTTTTTCTCCCGACATCTTTGCACCTGTTATTACCTGCAACACGTTGTAGAGATCCTGGCAGATAAAAGCCATGTAGTCCGTCTTCTCAAAGAGCCGCTTCCGGTCGAATTCCCACCGAGCGTCTCTTCCCGACGCTTCGATTTTGGCCCGGATGTCGAAATACGATTCCTTCCAGATTTCAAGAGTTCGCCTAGCTTCCACCATCTTGATTTTGGCCGACTGCCTGTCTTCTCTGGAGTCCCGTCAAAGAACAGAGGGGGAAGAAAGGGGGGGGAAAAACAACAACCATATTTGGTGCAGAAAAAAAGAGAAGAGAATCCAATATCCTGGTTGGTTTGAATGTTAGGGAGCTAAAATGTTTCATCCTAGATTAAAAACACTTAAATGTTGGGGACAGACATTTAAGAGAGGCCAGGTTGACTTAATAACCATGTGATTCGCCTAAAGAACTGCAGAGATTTACTTAACAACCATGGCCATAAAATGGGGGGAATGACTCAATTAACAATTGTTTTGCTGAGGGATTAAAATTCTGGTCCCAATTGTTGGTGTAAGTCGGCAACCTTAAACACTCAAAGAGCCACAAAGGTCCTAACCGGAAGCCCCCTGTTCAATTCTGGAGCTGAACAGAAGTCCAGTTTCCCCCCACCATAGAGTCTCCTCCTAGCACGGCATCCTTTTTCCTCTGCTGACCAGAAGTCNCCACTGGTGGAACCTCTTCTAACCGGTTCGGTAGATTTGACGAACCGGTTCTACCGAATAGGTGCGAACTGGTAGGAACCCACCTCTGATTTTCTCTAACCATGACTGCATTTTAACCCAACAGCTTTTTGCGTCTCTACGTGCCCACCACATATGATAATATGTTCCTGGTAATTAGTGGCATTTCCAACGTTTAGCTGATTTATCGCATGCTGAAAGTGCGTGCAACAAGGCGACAGTGTGCACCTACATGCATGCACACATAATGAAATGCAGATGACACCCATCGTGAGCCCGGCTCCCTGTGCATGCGCACGTGACTCCCTGTGGTCCCCCCGCCCCCTGCACATGCGACCCCACTGTGCTAATTTTGGCCCTAGTAGGCATCCCTGCAGCCTCCTGGGACCAAAAATGGGTGGAGGGAGGGAGTGATGCCCCCGCACTCTCCCTTCCCCCCCACGCATGCACGTGTGGCCTTCACTCCTCCCGAACATGCACATGCCTCTCCCGCATGCCCCCTTCTCCCTGCGCATGCGCAGCAGAGACTCGAAAATCAGTTAGCTGACGGGAGGCACGCACACATGCGCGGTGGAGCCGAGCTGGGGCGATGGCTTGTGTGCCCGCAGAGAGGGCTCCGTGTGCCACCTGTGTCACGCATGTCATATGTTTGCCATCATGGTCTTATTCCATTGGAACAGCTAAGGCGAAGCGCCCATCGACCTGAGTGCCGTTGAGTTGGCCACGCCCACCCAGTCACATGACCACGACGCTCCGCCCACCCAGCTGGTCATCAGGGGAGGGAACCGGTTGTTCAGTTATTTGAATCCCACCACTGGCTACGCCGTCAGCATGTTATCCTTTGACTCTGACGGCCCCAGGCCGATTCTGCTGCCACAACCCCGACAATGGTGGCTCTGCAGAGTTCATTCACGGGAGGGGGGGGGGAGAGAGAGGCCACACACGGAATCACCTCCTTGCAATACTGCGCCAGGATATCGTTGAATTTCATCATCATCTGCTTGTTGATGGCCTCCCGGGAACGGATGTGCTTGAACTTCAACAGCATGTCGAAGGCCGCTTCTGCGGAACGGAGGGTCTTGAAGGACTCGTCGATGAAGTTCTTGGCTTCTTTCTCAATGTCCTGGAAGCCAAGTAGGGTAGAATTCAGAGGAACAGAAATAAGGCAGATAAAGAGGGCGGGGGGAGGAAGGAGAGGGAGGAGGAGAGGCAGGAAGAGGAGGAGAAATAAGAATAAGGAGGAAAGAGGAAGAGGAGGAAANTATACCGCTTCATAGGGCTTTCAGCCCTCTCTAAGCGGTTTACAGAGTCAGCATATTGCCCCCAACAACAATCCGGGTCCTCATTTTACCCAATTTTGGAAGGATGGAAGGCTGAGTCAACCCTGAGCCGGTGAGATTTGAACTGCCGAAATAGCAGTCAGCTGAAGTAGCCTGCAGTGCTGCATTTAACCACTGCGCCATCTCGGCTCTAATTAAATCATGAGCCTCCAGCTTTGACCCCATTTAATTTACAGCCCAATTATGAACTCTGTTTTCCCCTCCCACCCCAGGGTATGTCATAAATCACATTCTCCAACAGAGCACTTTCGTGGGCAGTAGAGATCACTCCCGCCCTCCAATTGCTATGGGTAACCTGGGATATAGCCTTGAGAGAGATAAGTCCGGAATGTGCACCTGTCTTTTGCTGACATTTCATCGGTTTCCCATCTCCACTTCCCTATGGCAACTCGAGAGCAGGCTGGGGATGCTTTGCGAGTTGATAGAAACAACAAAGGACGAAGTAAAAAAATAATACAACAAGGAACAAAAGGAGACGGTACTGACTCAGCCTTCCATCATTCTGAGATTGTTGGGGGCAACGCGCTGACTCTACAAAGTCCTTAGAGAGGGCTGGAAAACCCATGTGAAGCGGTGTATAAGCCTAAGTGTGATGGCTACATGATACCCGCATGGTTGGGAAAGGAGGAAGAGATTTCCTGCTAGGGAGTTCGTAGGACATTCGCGTGAGTGAAAACAGAGACAACTGAAAGTCAAGTTTTCGATACATTTGAACAGAAGATCCTCCCCTTCCCTGGTCTTACTCGCCGAAGCAGATTACCTAAAGAGTTCCAGTTGAGCCTTTTGTAACCGGATCGGAAAACCCGCCACAGGTCTTGCATGTGCTCATCCAGAAGCTGCATCTCGGCTTCGTTCAAGGTCGCCACTAATTTGTGGTAGTGGTCCAGCATCTGCTTGATGCTATCTGTGTAGCTGAGACACCAAAATGGTTGATCGAATGGTTTGAAGAGAACAGCAGACCTGCCCCCTGCCCCCCGTAATGAGGCCAAGCCCCCCCACCCCCACCCCTCCGAGCCCTCCATCCTTACCGTAGAAATTTGTCTTCCTGCAAAGCCACATTCCTCGCGATTTCAGGGACGGGGAAGCCCAGATGCTCCATGTACTTGGTTTCGTTGATAATCTCCCGAAGGACGGGTGAAAAGTTGACCACGAAACGTGTCCCCTTCTCGCTGGTGCTTTCCACCTCGTCCGAACGTACACTCTGCGAGGGAGGAGATCGACCGTCGCCGGGGTTAAGACCGGCCGGTTAAAATGACACCCAGGAGAAGAGACGGAATCCGCGCGAGGGAACGGATGGCGTCTCCTTTCAACCGGAAGAGAGCTGGAAGGGACCTTGGAGGTCTTCCAGTCCAACCCCCTGCTCAAGCAGGAGACTCTATGCCCGTGATGGTGAACCTATGGCAGGCGTGCCAGAGGTGGCATACAGAGCCCTCTCTGTGGACACACGCGCCATTATCAGCTGCTCTTCTGGTTTAAAAAAACAAGCCATGTTTTGGGGCTGTTTTGTGAGCCATTTTTGGGGTGTTTTACCTCCACCAGACCGATTAGATCGCACAGACTAGGCCTCCTCCGAATTCCATCCGCCGGCCAGTGTCGACTGGCGACTACCCGGAGGAGTAGCCTTCTCT